ACAGATAATGAACCAACAACTGATAAACTTGCAATCAATTTTGTTTTGCCGTAACTTATACTGGCATCGGAGATCATTAATGAACACCTGCACTATAGCGCTTTTGTACTTAACAAAAGCTCGTGCGGTCGTATCTGGTTACAATCAATATTTTGTATGGTGTTTGAATTACTGGCAAACGCGATAAGCCGTGAATTTGAAAAATCTGACATATAAGTGTAGATAATGATAATCTTATTGATTGCACAATTTATTATACCGATACCAATTGCATTTTAATATATTTTTATTACAAATATAATTATATTACTTTTTTATGCAATTCTCCTTTTTTGTGATAGCTAATCCTTCACCACATATTGCACACTATATAGGGCAGAGCAAGGCACAAGTTCCAATTTGACTTTCAGTAACTATACTGTCTAAACCACATCTGGGAACATTTTTCATTATGACCGCAATTTTTTTAAGTTGATATTACCAAATACTTCAAATTAAAAAATACATACTTTTTTACCTCAAATATTGTTTTTTACCCCATTTGGAGTAGTTTAACCCCCGGATTTTCCGACCACTGGTCTAAACCAAATAAAACAACTATATTTATACTTGTTTTTTATATCTATAAAACAACACAAAACACTATCAAACCAATAACTATCTAACTATATTCAGTAAGTTTCTAGTTATTTCTTATTACAGAAGGTTTTTTTCAATATTTTTCTAAAATTTATCATCTACCCCCATAGGCAGGGTAAAAAGGGATAGCCAGGAGGCAAATAGATCTAATGTGTAATTTTAAACGTTGGAGAAAACTAAAATAAAAGATACAATATTACCCAAACTAAAATTTCATGGACACATTTTCACACAAGATCAACTGCATATAACCTTGACCTGGTATTTCGTCAGAAATATTTGAGCCGAGATGAAACAACTATTATTTTATCTCTTGTAAAATTGTTTTTTTATATACTATTTGATTGTTTACTTTTTGCCAGGGTAATGGTTCAGTTAGTACTGTTTACTCCACCCACATGTAAGATTTTATATTATATAAAAAACTGTTGCATCTAACTGAAAAACAACAATACATATTGTAAACAATTAAATAACGTATACAGAAAAATAGAATTATATATAGTAAACTGAATAAAAAACCTCCTCAAACAAAAAAAACTACCACAAAAAAAAACTTTTGTTATAAATATTGATACATAACCCTTTATCTCCTGATAGCGATTGGTTACACTTCTGTTGCCTTCTACTTTAAAATAGTATTATAAATCATCTATACTTATGTTTGAGATAATGGAGGTAGACCTTTTTACCCGCCGCCCTTTAAACACCACGCTCTACCCTATACTATTTTTAATTTTTAATAATACAATAGTTTTTATATTACATTCTATCTGCTCGGAATGGAAATCGTTTTAAAGTAACAACATGAAAGATATAATTATAACTTGTTTACCAGCTATAAAACCCTTCATCATCAAGTTCAAAGTGTAAATATAAATACAAATAAGAAATAATGAGCAAACTAGCGCAAAATTTAATTGTACAATATTTATTCATCATCAGCAACTAGGAGCTTTACTGGTTATTCAAATAAAAACGGTTATTGTTATTTCAATAGCAATAAAAATGTTTTTATTTTTATATATTGCGCAGTATGCTAATGCTGTTGTGTAGAGAATTTAAGCTTCTTAAATATTGGGGCAGAAATATGAATTTTAGGAATAAAATCAATAAATACCAATTTAGTAGAAAAAATGCATGCTGGTACAATTTATTTGTATTACAAGTGTCTTTTTTTCCCCAAAAATACAAATCATAGATACATTTTCTATTACAGTAGAACTCCTTTAGTTCGTCTTGCTCCGGGACTGACCTCTTTATCGGATTATCGGGTCAGACAATTAGGGTAATAATTAAACTACAAATCAATAGAAAATACAACAAAGCAAATTTACGTTCTTTTAAATTATATATTTAAATTTTTGAAGCAGGCTACGTATTTCGTACAACATACTTCGTTCATGAACATGGACAAAACGAATTTTACCATGGACAGAATAATTACTGAACAATAGCGAGTTCTTCCGAATGATTCCGAACCACCCTGAAAATGTTCTAAAAGCCCTCGATCATTTTTATTCGCTGTAAAGGCACATTTTTTTTAAAAAAAAAACGAATTTACGGAAAAAATGCCGGACTATCGGATTTCCGTACTGGTGGGTACCGAACTAAAGAACTTCTACTGTATATAGGTTTTAAGTCATTAGAATATTTTAGGGTGCCGATAGGAATAAGGTTCCTATATGAAATATGAATCAATGAGCAAAGAAAAATCAGATCATTTGACCCATCACCAAATTTATGTCTGAAGGTAATACCGATGATGTAATAATTTGCACTCGGATGGAGAATTTCAATTCTGAAACTTATTAGATAAATTCCATTTAACAAAACTATTTCTTACCTTGTTTTATGATAAAAGCGCAAGCCTCGGTCCTAATGTGTCATACAATGGCACAATCACCATGCCGTAGCAATAGGCGCCTTGTTCCGTCAATATCCATTCTGGACAATTTTGGGCATACACTCCAATCAATGTTTCTGGTCCTGGGTTCAATCCCAATCCGACCAGTCCACTGCCAAAATTCCTGGCTCGGAGTAAAGTTTCATTGTAATTTAACCATGTGTACGGTGATGTGGTCGTTTCTCTCCATCCCAAGCATGGGCCATTATCTGAAATAATATATAATTGAAAATAAATGATCAACTCTATTTGATCGAGTAGACGAGTAATACTAAATCAGACAATTCACCGAGGGATATTAACTAGAAATAACAGTTATGTTTTCGCAAAGAAAATAACCATCTGTTTTAAATTTCGGAAGGAATGAGAAATCAATTTTAATTTTTGAATCTTTAAAATTTCCAAGTTTCACCAGAATGTAATAACATCGGTTGTATCGAAGCAGCGTAAAGATTTTGGATTTATTATTACTACCCGTACAATTTTCATCCATTTTAACACGTTAATAGCCACGATAATATCAGAAATGTTTTACTTGGATCATGGTAACTTTATTAGATGATTTAGTTAAAAATGTATCAAAGAAATTTTAATGTGTCAAAGCCAAAGTTTGCCAAAATTCCTGGAAAAACACTGCTTTTTATGTCACACCTAAATGACTAACATGGCCCTATATCAAAACATTTTTTCTACAAGTCAAGAAATTTTCAAGTCAATTTGCCAGTCATATATGTCTAAATGACTGACATGGCAATTAACGTGTTAAAAATAATTTTTCTGCTACCCAAACAAGCTGAAAAATATGAAAATTAGTGGATTTTATGCTCGTTGATCTTAGAAGATAATAAACTTGTTACTTTGCTAACAAGAGCTAAATTTAAATCAAGTAGATATATCTTTTGATTATAAAATTATGAGTACAAACATGCAACTCTATAAAAACTCTAGTAAAAATATATCGAATCGCTACGTTTAACCAAGGAGGCGTCCATTAATCACGTGATGGATTTTTAATGATATTGAATATGAACTTAAGTATTACCATATTTTCAAAAATATACAAAATTGGGACTGCGGATGCCTTCATTCTAACTTTTCTCCATTAGGTTTTGTTTATTAGTAGTAAGTTCACCTCAGAATTCGAGATACCCAGCTGTAAGTCTGTAAATACTTGTTATTGACACTCTAAAGTTGTCTCAAAACCTACATATGGTATTGACACCCTACCATGTGTACAACTTCAGGGTGTCAATATACAAATATTTGCAAACTTACAGCTGGGTATCTCGAATTCCGAGATTCTTACCTAAATTTAAGCTTAAATGACTGGACTATACATATGTTTACATTTCGTTTTTTGTGCGATAATATGTCGTCGCAATATAAAATATGAATGTTAATATTTATAGTAATGATAATAATTTCAATATTATCTATCCCAAATAAATTTAATAAATCGTCATTATACTAACTTGATACTTTGGCCCCTTTTCTGAAGGTGTCATACAGCGTCCTTGTATCTTCATCAATGTAAGAAATATATTTGCCCTCTTCAGCTTCTTTGCAAAATCGCGATACATGAATATTTTCAGAGCCCTGCAATGAAAAATAAAATAATATAATTTAATGTAAAAGATTCTGACAATTTATATTTAATTGTTAATTATTATTCTTAATTACTTAACGTTGTATGTGCTTAGAATTTCATACTCAAATATCTCAATATAATTCTGTTATTTGTACTCTAGTAGGACGGGGCACAAAGGTCCAATTTGACTTGAAGTAATTTTACTGTCTAAACCAAATATATCTCAACACATAACACGAATCAAACAATTATCGAACTGTGTTCAGTAAAATTCCCAGTCAATTAATTTCTTATTATAGATGTGTTTTTTTATTAACTTCCCTTAGGGTAAGTTATAGTAATGGGCCAAAAATCGAAAATATTTTCACGTTTCAGAGGTTCCTGAATATTTTGGCATACCTCAGAAAAAATTGATGTGTGTATGTGTGTGTGTTTTATGTGTTCGCAATTTTTCGTCTACGTTTTCGAGCGCACGGATCAACCGATTTGAATGGTTCAAAAAACATTCGATGCCTATTGATAGGGAGATGTGCTGATTAGTTTTTGGCAAAGGCAGGTCCAGCCGTTATGGAGATACGGAGCAGAGTGCAAAAAATAGAAATCGAATTTTTGAGAGAACGAAGTATCCGATTTGAATGATCTAAAAAACATTAAATTTGTAATGATCGGAAGAAGTGGTGATTTTTGCAAAGGCAGGTCCAGCCATTTTGAAGACACGGAGCTAAATGTGCAACAGGGTGAAATGGGATAGTCAGGGGGCAAGCAGATCCAATGTCTTATTTTTAATTTCAAAGGAATTTTACGAATGCTACATTATACAACCAATGCTAAAGATAAATTTCATGGGCAATTATTTGCAAGAATTATAAAAATGAACCCTTTCATTATTCTTCATAATCTCTTATTTCTTCTCTGATAATCATCTTACACAACCTTTTAAGTAATTAATCAAAAGAATTTCAAGTCCAGTAATTTCAGAGTTAATGAATTGTGAAAATATGTTTTGAAAGCACCCTTTTTTCGCAATTAATTAGTAATTGTTATTAATGTTTTATACCGATTTTGCAAATTAACAGATAATGAAGCAATAATTGATAAACTTGTATAACATATTAATTTATTGCATGGTTGTCTTTTCAGATTAAAATATTTTCTGACAAAGTTGTTCCAGTATATGATTAGACCCACACATATTCTAGATCTCTATTATTATTAAGATTTTCTTTTTCTAAACTCGAAACATTCCGTTTTCCACTCCTAAGAATTTTTAATATTTATGAGATTTACATGGTTTTAAGTAGTTACTACTGGTTGTGAGTAGTTTGATATTCCCAGAAACGTAAACATCTAAAACGCTTTGTTAATTGTGTTTATTTTAATATGTTTGTGATTCGTGGTGTTTTAAAGTTTAAACATAAGAGTATTTGAAGTCAATCTAAGTTCCTGAAGAAGGACATACCGCATACATAAAGCGCCGAAAATGTTGTAAAACTAGGCGTAAGTGGCATTCTAAGCTTCGGTGAATTTTTATAATTAAATCGCTTTTTGTAGGCCCATAATATTTTAGGATGTTCATTAAGACCATCATAAAGTTTCATCAAAACTTCAATAAAATGGAAATTTTTGCATAAAGGTTTCTGAACATTTTGGCATACATTAGAAAATATGAATATATATGTGTATTTAAGTATGTGTGTCTGTGCGGATACAAATTTTCGTCGACGAGTTCGGGAACACGGGTCCAAAAAACATTCGTTTCGTTACTGATGGAGAGACTGAGTTTTTGGCAAAAGCAAGTCCAGCCGTTTCGAAGATACGGGGAAAAAAGTGCAAAAGATAGCACTTGTTTTTGAGAGAACGGAGCGTCCAATTTGAATGATTCAAAACACATGTTATTTGTATCGATTCCAAATAATATCTTTCACATGGTTTTTAAATTTCATACTCCGTTCTGGAGTTTTTCGCGAATTCCATTCTGATCGTATTGCTATCGAGTTTCATCAAATGGCTTTTATATTCTGGCGAAAATCCGATTGTAATTTATCCTTCGGAAAATTAATAGTGAATAATTTAAAAAAGCTTATCAAATATGAGTAAATAAGTTTTAAATAACATACTACATAATTTTTCAGGAAAATATTTGTCGTATATCAATATCTAGTAAATCGATACACTTATATTTAATTCAACCATAGAATAGTACATATACATATATGTACTATTTTATAGTCATATACGTATATAGCTAAGAAGAAACCACATTTTTTGTATTGATTCAACTAAATTTATATATATATATATATATATATATATATATATATATATATATAATTGAGTTGAGAATAGTATGACTCCTAATTATTTCTGAATGCATAAAATATTCCCTTAGCTTCGTCCAGTTGCATGTATATACGGCTTCATTAAACATTTATATCTATTCTATGAAGATATTTTTTTAAAATATGTACTTTGAACGAATCTATTACGGTCTTTCTGAAAATACATCGAAGGATATTTATTATTTATTTATACAAAAGTCCTTCAGAAACAAGTGTTGTTATGAAGAGAAATCTCACGATGTTAATTATCATAAGAGGGCTGGTAATAATATAGGTCGAGTAATAATATAAAGAGAAATTAGCTCGGCTATTCAGTAATATTCATTTGGTTAGCAGATTTTTTTTTGTATGTATTTATTTGCCCTTATATTAACAACTTAGCCATTTATATGCTTTAAAAATTTATTTTATTCCAATTTTTACAATTATCTAAAAGCACATAAAAAATAGCTTTAATATTTCATCTTTATTAACTTCCCGTAGGGTAAGTTATAGTAATCGCAAAAAAACGAAAAAGAAAATTTTTGCATATTTTTACGTTTCGAACGTTTCTGAATATTTTATACAACCTGAATATTATTATATCTTACAAAAAAAGTTAGAAACAATGAATATATGTGTATGCGTGTATGTTTGGATACAAATTTTTGTCTACGATTTCAAGATCAACCGATTTGAATGATTAAATAAAACATTCAATTTCTATTGATGGGAAGACGGGCTGATTAGTTTTTGGCAAATGCAGGTCTAGCCGTTTCGAAGATACGGGGAAAAAGGGAAAAAAGGAAAATGGCAATGTTTGAATAATACAAATTACTTCAATAAACTTACGTTTCTTACACGGCACAGATTTTTCATGTGTTTTATTATTTGCACTATAATTATTTATGGGGAACGAAATAAAATATTCTTCAAATCCAGACATTTTTTATTAACTCAAGATTTGTACTACTATTTAACCTTAAAATGTAATGACATGAAACACCGAAAAATGAACAATATGCTTCACGCTTTCGGTGACGTACGCACGTACAAAGTCTTGCATACAAAGAAGCCTCGCTTATAATACGACGATCAATCACAATCGACCCGTATAAAAATGATATCATCGAGAGCGAATGACGAACCATTGGCAGTCGACTCGGCCGTAACGCAATTCCGTTGCATCTGTACGGTTTTACACTCTAGTCGCATCTAAAGAAGTTTTACTTCAATAAATAAATAAATAAACAAAGGTCTTTAAATAGAAGAGTTTCTTGTTATTTTTATATAAAAGTTATAAATTCATTATTTTATTGTTCATTATCTTCATGAGGTACGTGTGAACGTGTTCATATATACAGTTTATACAGTATATACATACAGTTTATATATTTAAAAAATCTTTTTACAGACAGCCATAATGTATTTTTTACTATAATGGATTTTTCAATAAATCTATTCTTTAATCTATTTTTATGATGTATATTAAAAAATAAACTCAAGATGCTAGTGGAAAATACACGTGTCTAATGGGAAACACTCTTAGATTTCTTGCCAAAAATATTTTCATGCGGTAAATAATAACAAACAAAACCGTTAAGATAAACACCGTTTTCGTCGTAGGTTATGTATATTGAAAATGAAGGAATATGAAATATTACACATGGTATTTCAAAGTATATTTTCATATATCGACTTCCGAAATATATGCAAATTTCAATTTAAAGTTTTAAAATAGACTGGGTTATAGATCGTATATAGATCACTCGACATTGAAGAGGAAAGGCTGCGCATATTTTATATCGCATTTTTTATTTATGTTATAATGGTTTTATTTAAAAGTATCCTCAATGTAGTAACAGACTTAATACATGTCAATAAATATCTTTTGACACGTATCATTCGACTTCTTGCTTTATAAACCTAACATTAAAACCATCATCAGCTTTTTGCATTAAGTAGTACAATAATGCTTCAACAAAATGAACAAAGTTCAGAATTCATATGACTTTGTATCTGTTTTTATATGAATCAATTTATAAGTTTGTTTCATGAAATTGCAGGTTTCAATAATTAACACAAGGGAATTGGTTTAAACATTATACTATGGGAAATTTTTAATTCCTGAGAGATACCAAGACGCATCAGGTTTGACGCTTAAAATTAGTATTTCTATTTTATTCGTGTGATAGTATATATGTATTAAGTTGTCGTTTGTTGTCATTTTTTTCTGTAAGAATAGTAGGGGAGGCTGGGTGCGATAGAGACAGTCGTCATAGCAGCTAAACTAGATTGAATTTGAGATATATGGTCCAAAGGGAGAAAGATGAAGTATGTCTGTTGGAACAAGTTTCCATTATTACATAGAGTCAGTGCTCTACATTAACATGATCTGTAGACCGCATTGCTTTTAAAGAGTCAAAGGTAAGTTATTTCGTTCGATTTCTTTTAATAATAATTATTACTTGTATACGGATAAATCACTTTGTTTGTTATTTTGTGACAAGTTTTATGATGTCTTTCTCGGTTGAAAGGCTGGATATGTAAGAAACATTTAATTGAACTAAGACAAAATACGAAAGAGAAAAGGAAAGGAAATTTCAATACAAGAAAAAAGATTTCACAAAGATATTTCTTGTTACATATTTAAATATAACTAAGGTAAATTAACAAAATTATTGCTGATA